CAAGAAATCAATAAAGATAAGTTGCCAACAGCATCATTTTGAATTTTTCTGCTATTATTTTGACCGTAACTGTACATACACACTTATGTGCTAGCACTAAATTCGAGTGACTACGAATGACTTAAGTTAAAGTTTGAAAGTTTGCCGTTCAAACTTACGCAGCTACATATGTACATACATACATACATACGTATATATGTGGCTATAAGCCCCATTCTTTTCCATTGTTTATGCATATGTATTTGTGGAAGCACTCTCTCCACACATCCACATGCACTCACATACAAGCATTTCCGAATATTTTCTAATTAAATCCACATGTTTTACAATATGGCGCCATTTACGGAAATGCTTTTAATTTCTTTCACTCTGTTCTGCTTCCAACCCTCCTCCGATGCGGATGTTCACTTACAATTTGTTCAAATGCATATTTAGGTAAATAAACGTTCAAATGGGTATATGCTCTTATGACAGAAGTGCGTATGTGGGCTTGTCAGCAGGAACATTTCAAATTAAACTCAGAATCGCTCAATATTTTTTTTTGCGGGGTGCTTCCATCTTTCCCATTTACCGCTTTACCATCAGCCGTTTGGATTCATTTAAAGCTCATTTTGAGTTTAATTTTCTGGTGCAGCCATGCAGCGAGCGCTTAGACAAGAAACGAAAACAAACGGAAATTCCTTGATATTGCTCGAATATACTGTTGTTGCTCTCACATGCTACTAACTGAAGTTAATGCGAAAATTAAAATGTCGAATATTTTTTTTCTTTTTTAAAGAATATTGATATAAGCATATGCTTCTTCTCTTGAAAAATTTTTCGTTGGTGTTCTGAAAACCCTGCAACTGCTGTTTAAATTTAAGATTTCTAATTCCAGTTAACTGCATGACAAAACCAAGCACATACTCATGCATTTGCCTACTACCAATATGATTTCAAGGGGGAAAAAATGGAATTTCCATCAAATATAAATTTAAATATCTCAAGGCGGATCCATTTCTGGCAAAGAAACGCAACTACACTCACATGGCAGAAAAGTTCCGAACTAAAGCGATGAATCTTCAATCATTCAACAGTTATTCGACAAGCTGAGTTTATTTTGGCGGACGTTTAATACGCTTTACTTTACTTTTTTAGACCACCCTTGTACGTACACATGTATTGAAGGCTAATGGTCTGACTGGAATTTCGTATGTACTTTGTATCTAATTTGTATGTATTCCAGTACCCAGAAATTAGCAGAACTTTTAAAAACTTAGCGATCTGTTCAGTTTAGATTTTGCTTCACATTTTCTTAAGTCACATTTTTATTGCACCATTACAAATGGTTGTGCGAAGTTATGCGAAGTATGCATAATCAGACCCTAAGGTTTTTTCCTTACTGGCGTGTAATTTACTAAAAGGATTACAGTATTCAATAAAGTGTATGTGTTCTCATACTAGAATAACAAATGTCATTTAGCGAATGAGTCATAAACTACAGTATTTACACATATAAAGATTTGCGGACGACAATAGTCTCTGCTACACAACTGGTAAATGCCATTTTCTAATCAAGTAAACTCTTTGTACATTAAATTTTATGTAGACTTTGTATCTATATCTATATATATATAAATGAAATGTTTTCCGTATGACGACGATGCCTGACCAAACGGCTGAACCGATTTCAATTCTGTAAAAGGGGCTTTTTGGGATCTTCTGTGTGAAAGGTTTTTCGATTTAAAAAAATTAAAAATTTTTTGTGTTGTTTTAAGAAAGCTGCGACGTCACGATTTAACAATTTCATAGAGTTTTCCGTATATTGTATGTCACCAAACTACCAAACGGCTGGACCGATTTCGTTCATATTTGGAACATATGTCAGCATCTTGAAGGGAAATATTTCGACTAACAATTCAATCGCTAGGTGGCACAGGTGTCTTGATTTTTCTAAAAACTGCATTTATTTGCATATTTGGCTCATATTTGGAACATTTGTAGCCAATTGAAAAGGAATATTTGGACTAAAAAATTACACGATAGGAGGCCCTGGGGTCGGCATATTCCTAATGGTCTTATGCAGTGACAGAATAATGGATATCTACACATATACATACATCAAAATAAAATGTTGAAACCCTTACTTTGAGGGAACCAATATATCTCTTAAACGAACTACGCTGGGGAACTGAGGCTTGGCACGGATGCATAAATTGTAAATACCGAAAAGCCCTATCACTTTAGACCAAAATCGACGTAAGATTAAAAAAAAATCCGAGAAGAAATTTTTTGACGCAGTTAGGTGTGTTCTGTTTAGGTAAACACAAAATGAAAAATTTTCCCCCAATTGCGATACGGGAAGTGTCCGCCATCTTAGATTTTATGTTTTTTACGATTTGCGCGCGAATTTGGCATTTCTCGCGAAAAAAGGTAAACAAATTTGTTGAGAATTCGATTCCCTACAATTTGCATGTGCCTATCAATTTTTTTAAACAATTATTTATTGCTAATAATATGTAAAAAAAATGCCCAAAATTAGGCAAGTGGCGCGGTTTTTTCAAATTTTTAGCAATTTCTATTTGAAATAAGTGGCACATTTAAATGGCGAAGTTGTAGAGGACAAAATTTCCAACGCATTATTTATATGTTTACGTACGACGTGTAGATCTCGACCAACAACGCGCTCAATGCAGCGCAAAGGGATAAGCTAATCAAAACTTTTTTCCACACCACCTGAAAGGTAAAGTTATT